TATCAGACCGAGTAGATCATATAAACCAGATAGATTTGTATGGGTCTATTCTAAGTCTGGAATGTACTCTGTGAAGACTGGCTATGAGTTGGCAATACAAATACGAGAGAAAGACAGCTTGCCACTTGTTATAGAGCCAAGCTTCACTCCCCTAACGAGTAAAGTCTGGGATCTAAAGACCCCTCGAAAGATAAAACATCTTCTATGGCAAGCTCTCTCAGATAGTATGGCGACGAACAGCCAGTTGACGTACTGTCATTGTGGGACAGATAGCCGATGTCAACGCTGTGGTGCAGAAGTAGAGTCGATCAATCATGTGCTCTTTGAATGCCCCCCAGCAATACAAACATGGGCTTTAAGTGCAATCCCATCTCCTCCGGGTATCTTCCCGAGTACGACCCTCTCCCAGAACTTTGCTCACCTCTTCTTCCGGGTCCCTTCACAAGGAGAAGTTGCAAAATCCTTAGAGGCTTTCCCATGGATTCTATGGTATATATGTAAGGCCAGGAATGAGAAGGTTTTTAACAATAAAGATATCTTGCCAATAGATACCCTGGAAATCGCCAGACAAGAAGCTGAAGCATGGAAATTTGCACAGAAGGTCACAAAGATTGGAGAAACCCCTGCTATCAGCCAAGTGCCAAGGCCACAAGAAACAGCAACAATGACTGGGACAACGCTGATGGATAACAGACCTCCGTACCCACGATGTCAAGTGGATGCCTCATGGGTTAGAGATGGCCACATAGCAGGTGGGGGTCTTGTACTCGATCTTATAGATGGCAGTCATTTATATGGATCGATGGCAACAGCACAGTCTCTATCACCGTTACATGCCGAATTCAAAGCACTCATGTGGGCTATGAGAGCTCTGATGCCTCTGCAGATCTCCGGGTTGGTGATTGAGACAGACTGTCTACAGATGGTGAACTTGATTGAAGAAGAAGACGAATGGCCAGCTTTAGCAACGGAACATGAAGAACTGAAATTTTTGCGCCCCAATTTTCATAATCTTTCAATAGTTTTTACCCAACGTTCTCTTAATGTCCGAGCTGATCGCCTTGCTAAGAGCGCTCGAAGTCGTGGTTTGATATTTTCCCATGTAAACTCAATTGTTCCAGAGTGGCTGGCTTCCAAGCCCAATATCTTTGGAGCTTAAGTTTAATATATGGAGTTTGCTGTTAAAAAAAAATAAGCAAAGCAGGAAATTCAAACAGATTAAGTAAGGATCTAAGATGGGGGTTATTGATTAAGAGAATATTAGAACCTAACTAGTGATGCTTCAAGACCATTCAAACAATGCTATCTTCTAGGCATAGGATTAACAACTATAACTAGCTCAATTTCCTGACATTAATCACTTTGCTAAGCACACATTCAAGATAAATCCCTTTACTCAAACACATAATCAGCAAGCATTCAAAACAGAACTCCAAACCTATAAAGCCAAAATGCACCTTTGACATCTAATTCCTTAGGCTAAGCATATAAATCCTCTAAGAGACTCTAATCAGCATTTCATCAAACACTTACCAGGCGAAAGAGAAATCCAAAATACTAAACAAGCCTGACAAGACTAATCTAGTGTTAAGCACATCTAATAGAGAGAAGATAATCATATTAAGCACAAGACATCACTAATCTAGTCCTAAAACCCATCTAATCTATCCCATCTCAAACCCTAAATAAGACTACTCACTAGCCATAGTCAAAACCACAAATTCCAAAGAGAAACAATGGTTAAGCATGATTAGGAAGTAGAATAAACAAGAATAGATCAAAGGCAAATACAGAAATTCACTAAATCAAACTAGTTCTTACAAAGCAAAGCTGAAAAGGAAAGGTCTTAAGTGCAAGAACAGAAGAAAGATAATAAGATCCAAGTTCCCAAACCATTTTAGGACTTTAGTATTTATAGGGGAACTAAGAAACCCCTAGTAAACCAAGATTAAACCAAAAATAAGTTGACTCGGACAGACCATATCGACTGTGAACATTGATATACATGTCGATATTAAGTCTTCTTATGGGTTGTATCGATGTCTCTTGGTCGATATGCACATCGATACAGAAGGCTCCTAGATTGTATCGGTTTGGCTCTCCATGGTGTGAAGTCGATACAATCGCCCCTTAGTTAAGGCTCATCAATCAAGCAAGTCGATATGACACCTCGGTATTGTCCTGTCATGTGTATTGGTTTGAGACATCGATACACTGCTCGATATGGACTCCCTTCTGTTGCATCGAGGTGTCTCCTAGTCGATATGCTGCCTTCTCACCATGTCCTTACTGTATCGATGCTGAAGTGGTCGATACTCCCATCGATATACTCTGTATCGATCAGATGATGTCGATATCATCATCGATATTGGTCCATCCGTCTTTGTCTCTTGTCTTGCTCTATTCTCAGCTCATACCCATTGCACCACATGATCTCCACACTCCTTCTAGTACCTAAACAGAACTCCAAATGCAATGCAAAATGCAATGCAGCTCCTAAAACTACACTATCTCCTAAATGTATGCAAATGGGACAAGAAGAAGCAAAATATGCATGTTTAAAGACCAAAACTAGTGATGAATGAATGCTAGCTAACATGGTATAAATAATAGAGATATCAGTAGCCTTTGTTTTCTCCTTTTTATTTGACCCGAGATCGCATTTCGTCACCGACTGATCCGCAACGCTGCTGCTAAGCGCGGCGTTAAGCACCTTTGGATCAGCACTGATTTTGGCTCTTTTGCTTCTATTTGTGTAGCACCACTGGCTCCCGTTCATGCATCACTGCTTCTGGAAATTTACTTGGCATCGTCGCTGGATTTGGGGAGAAGAAAATGCGTAAGATTATTTGATAATCAGAGATTCAACCGATCAAAATTGCTGCGTATTTGGTTATTGATTCAAAGATCGAAATTGCTGCAAGTGTTTTGTTATTGGTTCCTTTCACTCCATAAGCTCTAGATCGTTGCATGCCAAGCCAGTAAAGTGAGTATTTTTTTATTCATGGAAGTAATGTTTTGGTTATTGATGCGATGCTCATTGTTTCGTTTCATAGATCATCAAAACCTATGTGCTGATTGTTATTCCATCATTTCCAGTTTATTTCGTTTTTGCTAATGATAAGCAAGATTTTCTCAGCAAGAATATCAAAGCTCAAACCAATGTTTATAATGCAGTATAGTGGTAAGGATGTCAATCCATCTTAGGTGATGAAAGTCACTAAGAATGCAAGAGCAATGCAAAGCTAAGCAGATTCGGGTAAATGGATGAGAAATTATGTAAAAACTAAATGCAAGCACCAAATGACTATGAAAACTATTTTAAAATCCCCTCTTAAGGGTTAAAAACTACTAAACAAAATCTAGGAATTTAAAACGCAAGACTACTAATTTAATAAAATCGAACTCTATAGGCTGATAAACAGAGAGTTTCTAGCAACTTAGAGCAATGGTTTTTAAAGACTAAAGATGCAAGCTTTATGACTAAGAAATGATAAACTAGAGTTTTAAATGCCAAAAAATGATCCAAGGTTGAGAGTAATGTTTAAGAAGGTTCAAGGTTCAAGCTTTTGGTTTGAAAACATAGATCTACTCATTTGATGAGCTATCTCTAAGCCTTGAGAAACTTAAGCTAGGATCATACATGGCGTGTGGTATGACCCATTTCCTCAACCCTTCCTCCTAACCTATGGCGTATAGTGGAAAGATGGGTCAAAGAACATTAAGCAAAGATCTCAAATATTGGCCTAACTCGCTCCCTAAGCATCCATGGTGTTTGGGAAAGGATGAGCTAGTCTCTTGGATTTGGCTTTAAGGGATTTCTGAATCCGTCAAGGTAAGAAAGCCCTGGAATCATAGAGATCTTTTACAAGACTCTCTAAGCGTTAAGACCCCAAATCCAAGAAGAGAAAAGATTAAGAACAAGAAAAAGACCAAAGTTTAAACCCTTAAACCCCTTAAATCGCCCCAACCTTAAACCTAAGGATGAACTACTCACTACACATGCTTAAAACCGATTAAAATGCAAAGGAAAGAAAGCTAAACATGAATAAGCAAGATCGATTAAAGAAAATACTTAGATTAAGCAAGATTAAGAGTTTACAAAACTAAGAAAGCTTAAAAAGCATAACAATGGCGATAAGCCTAAGAGAAAACTCAAAAAAGATAAGACAAAGCGTGGGTATATAAAGTGATAAGGTTTCATCGTCCAAAATAGGCAAACAAGAAAAATGGTCCCCCCCACTAAAGTCCAAAAGTGAGCTGTCCGGATAAGATGTAGGGATCGAGCTGAGTAGTCGATCTGATCACTCGATCTTCTTCATGGATAGTCCTCCTTTGCTCGATCTTTGGGTCGATTCTCGGATGATCGACTCGTGGATCTCAATCTGGTTCTCGTTCTGCATGGCTTTAATCCACGTCCGTACTCACGATCGATCCCCTTGATCGATCTCGACCTCGATTCCTTCCTTGAAATGACCCGGGCTTAGTCGTTCTTCTGGTCGATCTCATCTAGATCGACTTGCCTAGCTCGATCCTTCTCTCGATCTCGGTCTCTTCGCTGAATGGCTGAGTTCTCCCAAGTGTCCACAAGCTCCCTCTCGATCCTTAACATGTCCACGCAACCTCCACAACTCCAGTGTGTCCAAAATAATAAGTGTGTCCAAAACAACCTGAATATGATGCAAGAATGCAAAAAATATGCAAATGCTAATGCAAAATGCACTTAGGACCTAAAATGAGACAAATGGTGCAAACTAGCCTAAAATGTAAGATGAATGTATGAAAAACTACTCTAAATGCATGCTAAATATGCGAAATATATGAGTATATCAGCTAAACAATTATCTATAAGTAAATATTGTATCATTGTAATCCAAGACCTTGTATGTTTAATCCTTAAGATCCATTACTCTCCTTTCAATCGATTTTTCCAAGTAATTGGACATTATATAGAGTGTTTGAATTGATTTTTGTTTACTTGTGGGAGAATCATTGGATAGGTCAAGGCGATTAAGAGGTTCATCGTCAGGAACATATTGGAGCAGGCTGCCATTAGATATGTTCAGGAAGCCAGCGTCTACGATGGTTTCTTTTATTCGTCTCTTTGTTGTTTCTTTTATTTTGTTAGATGTACAAAACATAAAAAAGTTTTTGTCGATTTGTTCTGGAGTTTTTGAATATTGAGATTTTATTTGCATTGAATTTGGTCTTGTGTGGATTCGTAGGGTACATATTGCCGAAGCTATATGCGAAGAAATACTGTGTCTCATGTGTGATCCACTCTCACTTGTCCGATCCCGCACCAACCGCATGGTTCATACTCTTCCGTCATGTTTTGCCAGACGCAAGGTAATCCCATCACTCAGTTCCATGATTTTACGATACATTTTTCCTTCTTGGAGCTTCGTTTTTATTTACACGTGTATGCTTCATTTGAGTTTGTCGATCTCATCACGCTATGCAACTTTGTTTTTGTTTTACATGAAGATGGTTTGAAGTAAAGATGAATACTTTGGCTTGTAACAATTCTCGAGTTATGGGTTTGATTTTCTTAAGATTCCTGTTACCTTTTGAACTATACTTTATAGCTCCAAGAAGTAGACTTTTGAGATGAAATAAGCATGCTAGTAAACCTTCACTGAGTTCAGAACAGAACGTTAAGACTTTTGTTGTTTACGCGATTTGCTGATCTTGTCTCTATCCAAGTCCTTATGTTTTTAATCCTTAAAATCCATTACTCTCTCTTTATGAAAGAAGATATTATAGAGTTTATATATTTATATATGTTTGCTTTAAAATTGCAAAATACAAATAATTTATGAATTATAAAAACTGTAAGCATATTACATACGGTCTTGCTATCATCTCTCTCTCGCGGATATGTTGTTGAAAATTTTTTGATATACAATATTTTGTAGAACATTTTTGTCGTACTCTTTTGTCTCTGTTTTAAGAATCTGAAGTCCTGCAGTTGTTGTCACTCTTGATAGTGCGACATAGAGTTGTCCGTCAGAGAAGACTGGATTTGGCAACTACAACCCCACTTTGTTTAAGCGCTGACCTTTGCTCTTGTTGATAGTCATTGCATAACAAACTCGTACAGAAAATTGACATCTTTTTAGTTTGAATGGCATAACAATGGCGATAAGCCTAAGAGAAAACTCGAAAAAGATAAGACAAAGCGTGAGTATATAAAGTGATAAGGTTTCATCGCCCGAAATAGGCAGACAAGAAAAATGGTCCCCCCCACTAAAGTCTAAAAGTGAGCTGTCCTGATAAGATGTAGGGATCGAGCTGAGTAGTCGATCTGATCACTCGATCTTCTTCATGGATCGTCCTCCTTTGCTCGATCTTTGGGTCAATTCTCGGATGATCGAGTCGTGGATCTCGATCTGGCTCTCGTTCTGCATGGCTTTAATCCACGTCTGTACTCACGATCGATCCCCTTGATCGATCTCGACCTCGATCCCTTCCTTGAAATGACTCGGGCTTAGTCGATCTTCTGGTCGATCTCATCTAGATCGACCTGCCTAGCTCGACCCTTCTCTCGATCTCGGTATCTTCGCTGAATTGCTGAGTTCTCCCAAGTGTCCACAAGCCCCCTCTCGATCCTTAGCATGTCCACGCAACCTCCACAGCTCCAATGTGTCCAAAACAACCTGAATATGATGCAAGAATGCAAGAAATATGCAAATGCTAATGCAAAATGCACTTAGGATCTAAAATGAGACAAATGGTGCAAACTAGCCTAAAATGTAAGATGAATGGATGAAAAACTACTCTAAATGCATGCTAAATATGCGATATATATGAGTATATCAACTCCCCCAAACTTGCCTTTTGCTTGCTCTCAAGCAAACAAAATTCAAGAAAGGAAGAGAGGTTTTAAAAATGGGGGCTCAAATTCCTTGCAAAAGTGTTTTTCAAATGAATCAATTCAATGGTCCTAGTTCTTAATTCTAAGATGCAATGCACAAACTCATACTCCAAAGAACTTAGCCATATTCATCACATAATGAATCTCAAATCATGACTCTCCTATTCCAAACAATCCAAGAATCCTAACCTTTAACATTCATTAAGCTCAAACCGTGAATCACTCTTATGCATTTTAAAACCGAATACATTTGGCTTAGGGACAAGGTTATGAGACAAAAATGATCTCATTTAAGTGGGTAAATCAAGCAATGGGTTATCTCAAAGAAGGTTGAACTTATGCATAATGCTAAAGGTAAAGGCAACATGACTAGACTCTCATCTACCCATATACACTAACAATGATCCTAAAACCCTCTCTCATTTTTTTCTTTCTTTTTCAAGCTCACTCACCCTCTTAAAGACTACCCACATCAACAAGGCAAGTCTCCTAGCAAGAACACAAATAAAAACATCATTTTAAAACCCTTTTGTCTAGTGGTTAGGCCATAAACATACTTAGCTCTTTTCAATACTTTGATAGCTCTCTTCTTATAATTTTTTTTTTTACTTGGCCTTTTTGCTCTTTTATTAATCTCTTTCTTTTTTTCTTTTTTCTTTTTCTTTTCTTTTTGAGAGCTATCTTCTTTTTCAAACTACCACTTAAAACCATTCATTTCCCTTTTGTTCAAACCCCAAACACAAAAAATCTTTTCAAATCGAAACCAAAGCGAAACAACCCCCACGAATCCCCGCCCCAAAACAAGCCTAAAACTAGCTTCAAAATGCAAAGCTAGCATCAATATGAGAGCCTAATCATGTCGCCTAAACCTAACACTTTATGCCAAGTTCAAACCGAAAATAAGGCCTCACAAATCACACAAGAAATATTTGGCTTGAAAGGAGGGTAATGGTCAAGGTGGGGAGTCTATTCAGGCTTACAAAAGAGTGGTGAAAGTGATAAGAAAGCCTGAATATGTATATGTGATCCATGTATCCTTTTTCAAATGCATAAGTATGATAATATAAAGATTCAAATTAAGGTTACACTTATTAGGAAAGGATTCAATTCATGAATGTTCAAGTTAAGCCACGAAAATCAAAACAAATGATCCAAATATGGTTAGAGCTTACTTTCAAAGAGTGTACAATGCATCAAAGAACTACTAACTAGGGCCTTGAAACAATTCATGAGCTTAAAACACTTTTCAAGAAAAACTTTTGCCCCTTATGCAAATGCAAACAACCTAAATGCTTAAAATTCTAGACTCAATCCTAAAATGTTTAACAATACAAATGCAAGCTACATGAATTTTTTTTTGAAAATTTTTAAAAATTTTATGATTTTTTTTTTGTATTTTTCTATGCCTTAGGTGATGCAGTGCAAGACTCAAAGATGATAACTCAAAATAAGATTCAAAGAAAACATGTCAAATAACACACACTCTCCCCCAAACTTGAATGACACCGTCTCGGTGTCAAACAAATTCATGAGGAGACAAAACACAAAGCAAAAATGAAAAAGATGCATGATATTTACAAGGTTGTGTGTTGGTACCTTGGAGCTAGGCACGGCTGGAGCTTGAGGATGCTCCAGACTTCCTGCTCTTTCTAGGAATGTCGTGAGAGATCGCCTTGCCCTTCTCCTTGCTTGCTCCTTTGTGTAGAGAAAGCCGAGCAGCTTGGTTGCTTCCTTGAGGCTCACAGATACCACCGGTGGATCTTCTTCTCTTCTCCGGTTGCTCGACCTCTTCACTTGAACACGCATCAGATGAGCTTCCTTGCAGATCCTTGATCTTCTTAGCAAGATTTTTTATCTTCTTGCTCTGCCATTTGTTGATCTTGCGCTGAACTACCACAACCGATGCAAGAAACTTCTCGGCTTTTGTTCTCGGCTCATAATCAAGCTTTGGAATATCGAAGCTCGCTGGCATCACGGCATCTGAAGGTGGCGACTCTGAAGGTGCACAGGGGATTTGAGGGGGAGTTGCTGCTGGTCCAAGGGCTGCGAAGCATTCCTCATTGCTTGGCATGAACTCAATCGTGCTGACGCTCTCTAGGTGTGTCTCATCAGGATTTGGGAGGATGCAAACCTTTTTCTCATTATCAGTGTTGGTGAACAAGTAGGCATGGAACCCTGGAGCTGGCGTAGGACCTAAGGAATCTGTGTTGCACATATAGGTCTCGTCCATGTAGGCTCTCTCCGCGCAAGGCTCAAACTCTTGAAGAGGAACTCCAGCTTGTGTGAAGAGCAGTGTGAGAAATCCTCCAATGAGTGCTGAGCTCGCTTTACACATCAATGCCCACGCGTTGTACTTGACCAAAGAAGAGGCCAAGATACAACCATAGTTGACGTCGTCGCCAAGTTCATCCACCATCAGCTCATCATTCTCCTTGGCATCGCAAAGAACCTTCTTAATCCCTTGGAAGAGGAAACACAGCTCATTCTTGGTGACCGTTGGAGCCACGGATCTTCCACTGAAGGTGTTAGCTAAGAGCTTGAGGGCGTATCTCAACAAAGGGTTGCGAACCCTCTTGATCTTGGTTGTGTTGCTCTTGTAGTTGTTGTTGCAAATCAGGTCCCATAGATCATTGGCGGATGCGAACTAGGGGAACTCCACTTGCTTGGCCGCAGCATTAAGACCGTAGGCTTGACACAGCTCGGTGATAGAGAGGTGATAAGCCTGCTTCCTGATCTTGAACGTGAGGTGACCTTTGGAGGGAGCTGGAAGGCTTGGATCTTCATAGGAGAAGTCCAAGGTTGAGAGGAAGTCAAGAGTGGCCTCAGGGTAGGTGGGGCAGTCCATCCTTGACAAGCACCCAAGCCCCATGTCCTTGAGAAGCACATCAAAATTCGCTAGCAACCCCATCTTCTCCAAGAGGTCTCGACTAGCAAAATTAGTGGGATCAAACCGGAGCCTCTCTAGCCTCTTCTTAGCCTTTTTCTCCTCTTTAGTCCATCTAACCCTCTCCTGAACCACTTCTTGAGTTTCCTTTCCTTGTGTTGCCACATCTCTGCTTCTCTTAGGTGCCATTGGTACCTGAGATACAAATTCTAAAAGAGAAGAATGAGTATAGGCGGCGATTTTAAAGAGAAATGTAAAGCAGGAGAGAAAAACTTATAACATAAATCCTAGATTTTTAGAGATTTTATAAAAATTATCACTAAATAGTAGAGGAAAATATCTTTAGATAAGATCAAATCAAGCAATTTTCCCTAATATCTAGATACTAAATTTTTTTTATCCTAATCCCTTAGCAACTAATATTCATCTTAATCCAATAAAAGAAAATTTTCTAAAAATTTAAACAAACAATTCAATAAACCCGAAAAAACCTTTGAAAAGGATGAATGCAAGATGCTCTTATGCCTTTAAAACCGAACTCACACTCTCTCTTTCTAAGAAAATCAGTTTCGAATGCAAGTGGAGA